AGTAATCCTATTACAAGCAAACTACACAATTTGCTAATGTACTCAAGACCCTATGATACCTGAAAAAAATAATACAAAAAAACGAAAGGGGCTCTAATAGCTTCGATAAAAAAGGAAGATAGCCAATTGTATATCACAATACTATTTCCAGCACTATATTTTATTTTATAACCACACATAATTTCATACTCTCAGCTCCTTACTGAATCGCCTTCATTTGTCAGTTGTATGTCCAATCATACCTTGCCAACCTTTATTTTCTTTGATTTATTAAAATGCTCTTTCTCAACAAATACCTTAATAAAAGAAAATTAGACTTTCACAAAGCGCGCCAACTGTGGTACTGATTAAAATCATCTACATTCATATCTTATAAATTATCAACCCAGCAATACTAAATGACTATGTTAAATTTTTGGAGGATCAGAAAATGAAGAGCACGGTTTACTAGTAAGACATTTATAGGTACATTCTGCCACCTGCAATTTGGTTGAATTATTGAACTTGATACTGATGACTAAGTTAAGTTGTCTGTTTCACTATTGATTTGCCTTTTTTCAGCATTTCATGAATCTTTGAAGGTTATCAAAGCCTTCTAATAAAGTCTAAGCCGGTGAACTACTTGTGGAACTTATGATTGTATAAGATCATATGGAGAAATAGTCTACAAGTTTACGAAAACTGTGTTTCGTATTGCCTACTGCCATGTTCATTCATTCACCCTTCTGTCGCAACATAACGATCACTTGCTTTCGCTTAAAACAACCTGAAATATACTTCTATACACTTACCTGTGTAGAGTTGAGCTTTTATAGTCTTCACATCAGCAGAATTGACCTGCATACCAGTTCTAATCTTGATGCATTCTATTACTTCATCTGTTGATTGTGACTGCAATATAGCAAGCTTCGAAATTTCTTTTTATTCTGACGACAATTTCCTGGCCCATGGATACAAACCACCCATGAACTACCACAAGGATGATTGTGAAACATCGTGTGTGATTTGATGACATATCCCTCATCTTCCAATCTTCCACGGAAGCGTGATTGGCATTCAAGAAACTTAGACATTAAACGTTCCGCATTAGTTAAAGTTCTCACCGTCTATGATCCATTTTTTGACCTTCTGATATACGCTTATGACCAAATATGTAATGAAACGTCACAAACAAGTATTATAATCTCACATCATTCAGCGATTTGCTTTTTGTGTCAAGATAATGTGTATGAGTAGTCTGAGAAGGAATAAAATTATCCTTCCATAATAGTTGTAATTCCTTTGGCGCGCTATCAAAGTCAATCCAGCTTTCAAAACGTTTGTTCAGTATAATACGTTGAAAAGCATCGCTTACGTCGACTAAAATGTCACTCGAACATGAAGCACTACAAAAAAGCAGCCATTAATTTTAAAAAAGTTATTCCTTGAAACAATAATATACGAAGCCTACTCAAGACCCTATAATTGAATGATAATGATACAAAAAAACGAAAAGGGCTTTAATAGCTTCAATAATAAAAGGAAGATAGCCAATTGTATATCACAATACTATTTCCAGCACTATGTTTTATTTTATAACCACACATAATTTCATACTCTCAGCTCCTTTCTGAATCGCCTTCATTTGTCAGTTGCATGTCCAGTTACACCTTGTTAACAGTTATTTTCTTTAACCTATTAAAATGCTCTTTCTCAACAAATACCTTAATAAAAGAAAATTAGACTGAGTAATCAGACCTTAAACATTCCTTCATGAATATTGGCTACTCTGCTTCTCGTTCTTTCTTTTACTTGCTCCCTCTTTCAGCCCCCTTGTGATATGGAACGAAAGATTTAATCCTGCACCATCCTTAAAGGCTTAGACATTCTAAAGGGATATAAGGTTGTGACATTTAGAAACCCCCACCTTCAATAGACATATCCTCGACTAACAGTTGCACATTTACAACGCAACTTTCATGAAGCGCGCCAACTGTGGCACTGATTAAAATCATCTACATTCATATCTTATAAATTATCAACCCAGCAATGTAATTTACTACAGTGGATATTGTATATTTTTTATCAATTTGATCTTGCCTGTGAACTGGCATGCCTCATGTAACAAACTGTTATTTTTGAATAAATTAATAATATTATTGATAATAACTAAAGAAAATACTTCAAATATTTAAGACTTACCGAGGAATTTACATTTCGTTTGAACTTTTGCCTTTAACAGCGATTCAAACAAACTTTAGGATCCATAATTTCAAGTTTATCTCATTTTTGTTACGTTGTTTTCTGGACCTTATCAAAAAATTATACAATGGCATTTAGGTTTACTACAGTAGTTGCGATGACAGATCAAGGTACGAGGCAACAATAGAGCTAACGTGTATATTACAAAACACAATATGCTAAATTAATGCTTTTGGCAGTTATTTCGTGCTTCTTACAGAGCGAAAGACTACTTAAACGTAAAAAAGCCTAATACTCGTTCAACCCAATACACCCACGGCAGCTGAAATACGGAATTACCGCCTCAGGCCGTTCAAGGTCGTTTAAACGAAACGGCGGACACTTTGAAATAGTCTGACTTTTTACCGTGCCAGAATAAATCAGATGGCATGGCTCAGCCTTGCAGGCATGGTCATTGTTTAGTGCTGTTATAAACCTTTTATTCATACTAAATATATCGTCCTATCTCTAGCTTAAGGGTATTCTTCATCATATATTGATGATTATTACGATGCAGTGAGTTGGTGTAGATAATGATGTGACTTCCACGTAAGATCTTATAGATTAGGTAATTACATAGTGACAAATCTACAATTTTTGGAATAATTCTATTTATGGAGCGGCACTAATAACAAAGGGGACCATAATTCTATATATGCACCGAAGGACCGAAGAAATTGGTAAGTTATGACGAAGCAAAAGCACCATTCAATGGTCCATACAAAGTTATCTCAAAGAAACTCACATAGCTCAGCCGGCAGAGAATTCCGGCACTTGACAACTCTTAAGGAGTAGAAGTTATGTCAACAATCCGTTTCGAGATACATCCACTTTTTATGCCAAGTCCATAAGTGATTATGCCATGAACAATCCACCGAGAAATAAAATGGGAAATGCTATATCAGTAGGGATATGTAACAACGAAGTGACAAATCTTCGAGTGTGGTGAGTATTGTTAGAAGGTTACACTTGTGAAACTAATAATTTTTTTTAGGTTTTTGTGCCGATAACGAAAGACAGTGGAAAGTCGGATTGAAACGATGAAGAAAATATTTGTGAATATCTGCTTAAGGCCCTAACAATGAACCCTCGCTGTAACGACCGAACTGCCAGTATTCGACTTGAACGTAGGGCTGACGAACCAAAATTTATTCGATTAGACCAAACCACGTTCTTTTGTTTAGCGTAATAAACGTTTTTCAGATACTAGTATTCAATTATATCAAAACAAAAACTCTGTCCTCAATTTAAACGGTTCCAATGTAGGAAATATAAAAAATTATATCAAAAATACAAAATACCTCAAACGATACAGCCCGTGATATACAGTCAAAGGTATCGCCAACGCAAAGTAGCAAGCTAAACAATAAAAGAAACAGATAATACCAAAGGGTTCGATACCTGAGAATCAATAAAAATATTCGCAACAAGATAGGATCAAATATCTATCTTCAGGAATTCCTGCAATCCTCCTAAGCAAACGGTCAAAAGGTTAACAGCAACACACTGAATCATGCCGCGACCTTGAGCTTATTCAAACACGACTTTACTGGCAATAGTCCGGCAACATGCGATAGAAAATTAGGTAACAAAAGATAAGTTATTAAACAAGATCACATTATAAACGCACAGACGAGGAAGACTAAATAAGAAAAGGTGTGGTTAGGCGAGATCTGAACAAAGGTTAAAATACACGACAGGGAGAAGAAACAAATAAATGACAGTACTGCTCGACAAAATAGCTGCGGAGGGATTTTCATCGTTCTCTTTTCGTTATACACGCAATAAGGACGAATTCCGAAGATAATCCTGAACCTTTTCTTCAGTTCAGTAAAGGATCTTTTATGTTTACAGTACTTTAAAACGTGCAGCATCTTATACTTATTTAGGCTAGTAACATATATTTGATTCATCACTGAAACATCACCTACAAAACGTGTTTTCTCTATAAGATACATTCAGTGGTTTTATATGGCAATAAAATACTATGGAAAGGTGGCTTGTAGACGGAGCATTTTAGGTCAATTAATTGTTCGATACTTGTTAGTGGTACTCACTGTCATTTTTACAAGCTTATAAAGATTATGCACTAAACTGACGCATATTTTTACAATATGAATTGTAATGTAATTAGGTAACAAATATTTTGTCTTAAATTTCTCTCTATATATAGATTCCAAAGCCGACGAAATCAGAGTTCAGTAATAAATGGATGGGAAGGCATATTTCAGCAAATGTCAATATATGAGTGTGTGTAATCTTAGTAGATTACTTGTTATAGATGTGCAACCGGTGTACCCAGCCGTGATCTGATCCGGATATTTGACTAGACTTCTTCAACTGGGGCTGTGTCTATTGAAATCAATAAGACTAGCATCAACGTCGAAAACTTATCGAGCTAGCTATTTGAGGGATTTATCTGCCACTATATACAAATGGAGGTAACGTGGAGCGATTTCACTTAATAAAGTGAAACTGGAGGAATAAATTCGGTAGTTACACGAAGTCTAGGATCCTTAGTCAACCTCCCCAACACCTTGTGTTGACTAAGGACAAGGATACTTAATCTGTTGGCCACAACATTCCAAGAGAATATAATCCCAATGATTGTATTGATAATTTGTATGGAAATGTAATAACTGTAAGCAAGTTTCTAGGTCCGTGAATAACTCAAAGTTTAATATTCCAGTCGTAAAAGTAATTTTTAATGATGGCAGATGATAGCTTTATTTAGTCAGATATTTTGTTAAAGCTTTTTTCTTCGTTTTATGTTGAACGTCGAACGAATCTAGGCCAGTTGGCTGTAATGCGCTAGAATGAAAATCCTTAAACACGTTTTGGGGTTTTTGATTTTCTTAAAGTTCTGTTCACCTTATGTTATTCAATTGAATTCAACAAATTGGAAACAAATATTAGATGGTGAATGGCTTGTAAAATTGTAAGGAAGTTGTAAAGATTCGGTAACTCGATATATAACAGTTTTCCATTCGGTATTTTAATTGCTTCCTTAAAAGAAAATGTAAGATAGTGGTTGTAAATGTGACAATTGCATTTTTTAAAATCCATTTGTACGGCAGTTGCCATAATTCTCTGTAAAATCAAATGACTTCTAAAAAGAGTATCAGCAGATTTGTAGAATTTTAGAAATCGACTTGATTCCAAAATTCATGAAATAATAAGAAGGCTCGCAGGTATTCAGGATTTAATCCAACATTTTGTTGTTTGTCTTCAGGCTACTCGTTTTTTACTACAAAGAAGCTCTAGCTAGTCCTCATCTTCAATTGACTCAGAAGACTGGACACTCACAGAAGCATACTAGAAAAGGAATAATATAGGCCTTAGGCCTTCTGTCCTTATTACAAAAATCTAAATCTAGTCAATCTACCGTGTTGTTTTGGCCATCATTGTTGTAGTTCCATATGTTTCTAAAATTTCGCCATATGAGGTAGACACAATCATATTAGAGGGTAATCTAAGATACAGAATCACACATTCTTCATTTCTTTACTCAGCAATTCCCCAAGTTGTGGAATTGTGCCTCTGGTAATTAATAATCAAGTTTCGTTTCACATAACGGTAATATATTATTGGCTCTCTGAATACCAATCAATAATATATATAGATTCGCAACATGATTTGACAGTTCTTTATTTTATTGTTTTTAGACTATAATAGTTCTCTGTGAAGTCGAAGTTAAACACTTTATATTGACCTAATTTAATAGATTCCATATACTGGGTTATTTCCAGATATATTTTAAGGAATAAGATAAAATAAGGCTAGTAATATATTAGTTCGCTCGGATTATCCCCGACCGATAGTTTATTCCCCTGTTCCATGAATGTTAAAACGGTTCGGGTTCATATGGCAAGTTTTGTGTTGCTTATAATCAACTGGCTAAAAAACAGATTAGCAATTAGTTGATAGTTTTACTAACTACTGGGTAGCCTTCATTTTTAGGCTGATGTTTAGTGGAAACACTAACCGCATTAACGAAGTGTTTTAGTAAGTCTGTAATATAAATGTTTTCAGAAGTATAAACTCGTTCATTACTACACTTTAGTCTTCAAAAACAATAGTATTGCAATTTACTCCTTGTCATTTGCTTCTCTGTTCGTATTCAATCTGGGCTGATGCATATTTGTTGATTATAAATTACTGGTATTACAAAAACTGGGACTTTTTATTATGGTTCTAAAATAAGACATGTAATATTAATGTACGGCAATAATCCGCTTGTCATCACATTTTTTTAGAGCTGAAATATAGGCTTGACCAATAAGTTCCTATAACTTGGCTGTAATATGGTTGACTGAATTCAAAGTGCATATTATCTATAACAGAAGACAGTTAGTTATCAACAGCTTAACCTTTTCTGTCAGCTGAAGTACTTAGGAGAAAATCTTCGTTTTTTACGAACTTTTTCCTTCGAACCTTAGTTATTGAAATAGTACTTGATGGGTGAGAATTTTCTGCTGAAGAATGGTCAGTCATACAGACAAAAGTAATAGCTCTGTGCTTCACTAGACGTATCTTTATGTAAAAAAAGATGTCATTACATATTCTGAATATATATTAGCTGTCTCACCATACAATTTTTGTTCCGGCTGGTTCCACTCTACTCGTGGGCCGTTGCAATTACACATCTCTTCATCCGTCACCACATGTTTGTACCAAACAACCAATTAAAACTAACTTTTATGTGGATATGGAGTTCCAAAAACACCGAGACATTTCTCGTTTGATTTGAAGTAAAATTTCATGTCAGATATGCTTGTAAAGCAGTAAAGTGAATCAAAACTGTCAGTGTATGAACAAAAATCCATTTTATTTAGGAGGAACTGTGTAAATTATTTGCAGGTGAATGTAATCAAACTTAGTGGAAATTAATATAACGAATCAGAGGCAAAATTTTGTGGAGTTAAACATATATGAGAGGCATCCGTATAATATTTATTGCTTTATAATCTAAAAAAAAACCTGAGCATAATTGGAAAATTTTGTAGTACTTCACTGGCTTTCAGTACGGGCATCAGAAATACAGCATACCTTGATATTAAGATTTTCCAAAGTTATAGTCATACCTCTGTGTTGTATGATCTGCATCAATATGCCAACGCCAGAGGTGGCCAATTTAGGTGTTTCCTGTAGCTTTAGGAAAGCTGTATTAGGTTTCGTATTACGTGAAAGCATTTGTAAGTTTAGCAATTTAGCAACTTGACACTATTTATGACAGGGCAGAACTTTCAGCAGAGATGAGGTAATGAGTGCACTAGAGAATAAAAGTATACATATAATGAAAATAAAGCGAAATAGGAAGTTATCACAGAGCAAGACGAATTCGTTTGTATCAGTCATTGTAAGTATCGTTTGAGTTGGTAGCTAAGCGGTGCTAATAGAATAATACATAGAAATTCGCTGATGAGTATGTTCTGAAATACTACCAAGGGGCCATAGGAAGGCAGTTGGTTGCCTCAGGAGACTACTTCCCGAGTCTTGGACCATGAGTTTTAATTCTAAAGGGTATGAAGCAATTTCGAAAGACGCACTCTCATATTAGTTGGGGGCAAAAGTAGTTCTTTTTCTCATCCACCATTAAGGGTTCGAAAGCCTATGTACACTATTGATTTGGCATTACAGTTTATCAACTCACCTAGGTAGACACATCTTTATCAACCTTGTTTAAGTGGTGGTTTTTCGCTTCTTGTCCTCTATGTTTCGTAGAAACCTCCACGTTAAAACACTGAACAGGAATTTCACGGAAAAGACTACCAACACATGGTCGTATGAAAACATTGAGGAGGGATTGGACTCGTTTAACTCTTGCCTGTACTTAAAGTTTTCAGGAGCTCGGCTTAAGGTTTAGTGGTGGTCTTGCCGTAGCCTTCTGTGACATCCTGTACAAAATTGATCGGAACCTTTTTAGCTAAAGTCTTTCCGTGTATTGTTGACTGGACTACTTCATATGATAAACTAGTATCCTTTTGATTGTACTCTCCGTTCATCTCTTACTTTTTCACAATGTCTCCATTTGTGTAGCGCACGTGTTCTGGTTTTCTGCTGTACCAAAGTTTTATCACAGATTCCAATAACAAAATGTTGATATAACAAACTAAACAAATACATATTTGTGCACTCGCCCTTTATGGAAAATATGTTAACATTCTTAAACACATTAGTGCATCTTTTTCTTGGAAGCTCTGCACACAGGATTAATGAAATCAAGTTGACTGGGGAAGCTATGTATATCTGAACTGTTCTATAGTATTGTCATAAGTTTTCAAATGTATCGTTCATTTTCACATAGATAACTGTATTGTATTAACTAGTAATATCTAGAGAATTTTTTGGTTTTGTTTTGATTTTAAAATAGCCATGCTCCTTGGTGTCCAGCTTGTCGACAGTTTTCACCAATTTGGCAACAACTCTCTGATGATAGTTCAATCAATGCTTTTGTCGCAGATGTTGATGTAACAGAAAGTCCTGTCCTTAGTTTCATATTTTTTGTCAAGCGATTACCAACTGTCTACCAGTAAGTTTAATTTTAAGTAGAATTATTTCCATAACTCAGTACGTAGATTAAAGTTACGAGTTTCCATTGAGATATTATCAGTTTGTAATTCTTTGTTTTGTCACTGGATAATTTGTTGAAAACATCTCCGGGAGACTAGTTTTACAAACAGTTTAATGAATCAAACAGACAGGTGAAATTGTTACTAGTTTGGTGCGCCACTTAACTTAGTACTCATGCTATTTTTTGTATTAATCACATATACGTAAAACATTCTTGAACATTCAGAGACCGGTAAGAGCATTCATACTTTACTGTTTAAGAAACTGTAACGTAACAATGTAGTATGCACGGTAAATACCCGGTGTGTTTGATCCATTTTTTATCGATCTCATTTGCAGCTATGCCTCTTTCGTCAAGTGATTCAAGCTTTGTCACTCTTGAAGGTTCATGTAATTGATTGATGATAACAACTTTGGGTGCTTTTAAAAACATAAAAGTACAGCTCAATGTTTATCACCGTCAATGAAGTTGCAGATTACCCGCTTCTTAGTTTAATATCATTAGATTTCTAACCATCGTATAAAATTGGAGTAATTTATTGATCTTTAGTTAAACTTAATGAATTTGTTAATCATATCATTCTAACTCTTTATAAAATTATTGCTATTTTTATCGTCTGTTTTTCACTTGCATTTCTAATGTTTCATATTACTCTTCCATTATGGTTTGTTAGTAAGTGTAGCGTTTTCACAAATTGTTCCTAGTGATTTTTAGAGTTGCCTACAGTCTTCACTATTTTGACACATTTGAGAAAATCAAGAATAGTGAATGTAGCAGTATAACACAAAATAATCAATTTTATGGTTTCTATTCAACTGCTAACAAACTAGGAACAATTGTACTAATTATTTAAAACTAATGTACATACTTTTCATCATCTCAATGTGGATTAATAACTTAACAGTAATAAATGTACTTACTTCCTTGCGCTTGTTACCCTTCATGGAGAAGTATGGGCCTCACATCAGCATTATCCATCGAACCTCGTCTTGTGAAATTCTTTCCAGTTGCTATTCATTCTTTTCATGTAAGCTTCCGATTCCCGAATCAGTATGTTCTTTGGTCTTCCTCTTTTCCTTTTGCCTTTTCGTCTGCGTACGATCCTCATTGTTCATCGATAATGCTGTCCAGGTACGTGGGAGTTTCCACCTCTTCTAGAACTTTTCCACTAAGTGGATCGGCCATGCACAGATCAAATTGCGACACTACGGATAATCGTCGAACAATCAATTGAGTGGAACTCGTCACTGTACATCAACTTCATTGATTATGAAAAGGCATTTGACAGTGTAGATAGGAGAACGTTATGGAAATTTCTTCGACACTATGGAGTTCCTGAGAAGATTGTCAACATTATCCGGAACTCATACGACAGACTACAGTTCAAAGTAGTGTATGGAGGACAGCTGACAGATGCATTCCAAGTTAGGACCGAAGTCAGACAAGGCTGTCTACGCTCCCTTCCTTTTTCTTCTAGTGGTCGACTGGATTATGAAGACCTCGACATCTGAGGGAAAACACGGCATACAATAGACAGCCCAGAACCAATTAGACGATTTGGACTTCACGGATGACCTAGCCCTCCTATCGCATACACACAAACAAATGCAGATAAAGACAGCCAGTGTAGCAGTAGTCTCTGCATCAGTAGGCCTCAACATACACAAGGGAAAAACCAAGGTCCTCAAATACAACACGGGAAACAGCAATCCAATCCTTCCTGATGGCGAAACTCTGGAAGATGTATAATCCTTCACGTACCTGGGAGGCATCATCGATGAACAAGGAGGTTCAGATGCAGACGTAAACGCGAGGATTGGCAAAGCAAGGGCCGCATTCCTTTAATTGAGGAACATATGGAACTCAAAACACCTTTCAGCCAATATCGAAGTCAGGATCTTCAATACGAACGTCAAGGCGGTTCTACTGTACGGAGCTGAAACTTGGAGGACTACTACAACCATCATCAAGAAGGTACAAGTATTTATAAATGGTTGTCCACGCAAGATACTCAACATCCATTGGCCGGATACCATCAGCAACAGCCTTCTGTGGGAGAGAACAAACCAGCTTCCAGCTGAAGAGGAAATTAGGAAAAGACGATGGAAATTGATAAGTCATACATTACGCAAATCACCAAAGTGCATCATGAGGCAAGCCCTAACATGGGATCCTGAAGGGAAGCGGAAAAGAGGAGGATCAAGGAATACTTTACGTCGGGAAATAGAAGCAGATATGAAAAGGATGAATAACAACTGGAAAGAGCTGAAAAGGATTGTTCAGGATAGGGTTGAATGGAGAATGCTGGTAAGCGGCCTAAGCTCCTTCATGAGGAGTAACAGGTGTAAGTAAGTGATTGGATTGGTTGATGTTCATTGTATTTTATTTTCGGATTTTGGTTTTTCTCTTGTGTATGTTGAAGCCAGCCAGTGCAGAGGCTGTTGCTGCATTGGTTGTCTTGACTTGCATTTGTTGGTGTGTATGAGATAGAAGGACCAGATCATCTGCGAAGTTCGAATCGTCTAGTCGCATGCAATATGTCGATTGTATTCCGTGCTTACCCTAAGATGTCGAGGTCTTCATAATTCAGTCAACCACCAGAAGGAACTGTGATGTTTTTATAAACTAATTATAACTTTGTACTTATTCCTCCTCCTGATTTCAAATTCCAAATACGTCACGTTCGTTCGTGCTCGTCTAGTTCTTTTTGGTATAAATTGCGTCATTTCTGGGATTCCTAGTCCACACAATGATTCAAATACTTATACTCACCCCAGAAACACAAAGGCGGAAAGTAATCAGCCCTGTCTGACTCGGGTTCTCACTTGAAATGCGTCTGTGAGCTGTCCTCCATCCATGACTTTGCAGTGTAGTCCGTCGTATGAATTTCGCATGGTGTTGACGATGTTCTACAGTACACCATAGTGAAGGATGAAATTCCAAAAGGTCCACCTATCCACGTTGTCAAATACTTTCTCATAATCAAGGGGGGTGATGTATAGTGACTAAATCCATTCATTTTGTTGTTCAGTGTTGATCCTTAGTGTTGGGATTTGGTCTGTCCACAACCGATCCTTACGGAATCCGGTCTGTTGATCTCGAAGTTGGGCGTCTACTGCGTGTTTCATCTGGTTCAGCAACACTGTTGAGAACCTTTCCTGGTACTGACTAGTGTGATGCCTCTGCAACTGAGTTCTCACACTTAATCAGACCTCCTTTCCTTGGTATCTTGATGAGCTATCCTTCTTTCCAATCTGTCGGCACCTGTTTCTGCTCCCAAATCTTCCTGAATAGAATGTGTAGCGTGTTTGCAGTTACTTGTATGTCTGACTTCAGTGCTTCTTCTGGTATGCTATCAGATCCTGCTGCTTTCCAACTTTTGATTTACCTGATTTATCCGATCGTTGGTGAAGTGACATCTATAGCAAGGTCTGGGCGTGCTGCTTTGATGTCCGGTGGGTTTAGTGTGGCTAGTCCATCCAAGAATTTCTCTAAGTATTCTACCCATCTCTTCCTCGGTTTATGAATCTCGGTGATTGTCTTGCCTTCTTTGTCCTTGACAGGTCTCTCTGGTTTGCTATATCTCCCTGCTAGTTTCTTCGTTGCGTCATATAGTTGTCTCATATTTCCTCTTGCAGCTCTTTCCACTGTCGTTGCTAGCCCTCCCACGTATTTTCGCTTGTCAGTTCTAATGCTCTTCTTCACTTGCTTGTTTGCTTCTGTGTATTCAGCTTGTGCCTTAACTTTCTCCGATCTTGTTCGGCTGTTGTTAATTGCCGTATTTTTGTTCTTTTCTTGAATCTTTTCCACTGTTTCTTTAGAGATCCATTCCTTATGATGATGCTTCTTGCGGCCCAGCAACTCCTGACATATTGAAGTTAGTGCTTCTTTTATCCCTTTCCCGTTGCCCTTCGTCATAGTTTCTTATTCTTTGAGCAGATCTTTTAAGGCTTTGCACCTGTTGTTGAAAGTTATCTTGAATTCGTTGAGTTTGTCAGTATTTCTAAGGAAGGCTGATTTAGACCTTTGTAATGCTGTTTCTCCACTTGTCTATTGCTACGTTAGCTACTGTTTCATCTTGGCTACCACCAGTTGATGATCTGAAGCTATGTCACTTCCTCTCCTAATTTTCACGTCTCCCATTGACTTTTTGAACTTTTTAGTGATGCCAGTATGACCTATTTAGTTTTTTGTAGTGTGATCCAGTACGACTCATTTAGCTTTGTGTATGAGTTTGTGGGGGAATATTGTGCCGCCCATAACCATTTTGTTGAACGCACATAAATTTGCAAGTCTTTCACGATCTCCGTTCATTTCTCCCAGTAGTTTGTTTGTTCTGGTTAAGGTTATTTTCTACGGTATAGGATTCTTGACCCCATGTCAAACCCTCCTCCTTTGTCAGGGCTTGAGACCGGTAGTAACCCCAGAAAAGCTACAGGCGTCGTTGGCAATAAATGTGGGAGAATTATATTCTTTATTCAACTATTAGTACATTTTCATGATTTTCCCATATTAATAACCGTTACTTTACTAAAATTCATCAATGTGATATAAAGTATATACGTTGATCTTAAATAATTAGTATCGTTCTTTTTAGGTTATATTAAGCAGAAGAGAATTTAAAAAATAAATGAATTTATATTATTGCACTAGGTTCGCTGATCCTATCTTATGTTTCTAGAACTCTTTGTCAGATACTATGAATTTATTTCTCGATACACAATCACAGTATTATATTAATAAATGTTCTGTTTTACTGTTCGTAATTCGTCTGTTTGTTCATTCGCTCATACCAAACATGATAAAGTCTGAAAGATTAGAAACTATTTTGTAAAATCTACTCGAGCTACTTACAAGTAGTGGAGTAATCTCTGCTAAAATAATATTTCAGAGAAAATAATCATTGAGCAGTAAACATGGCCTAAAACAAATTCAGTAAACTATACCTTATAAATCATAAGTATAAAGTAGAAATAATTGAATCTAGGAACTAGAAACGCAACTCGTTGCAAATGGGCAAATTTGTTATGTTGTTTTAATCTAAGTTGTTCGTTTCTCAAATATCTGTATAAGAAAATTGAGGTGCTGAAAACAAATAGAAATTAATACATGATTTCCCTGTGTATATTATGATTTCAGTGTAATCCTTGACAGTTCAAAAAAGTTTTCTACGATGTTTGAAGTTTGAAGCTGGATGAGCTAGTTAATAATGTCACGATTCCTTTAGCCGTATGTTCATGTTAATTTAGCACCGTAGAAAAACTTAAGGATAGCCTTTGATCATAGCATTATCAATGAAAAGTATGTATACAGACAAACTTGGTGTCACTATAGAGGAGTGACTTTGACATTAAATTACCATACTTAAACCCATTAAGTGACAAGATCAAAAACTATTATCCACTTACGTCATCTTGGAAAGCCTAGTGGAATCATTAGCCTTCACACACATAAACTGACTCGAAGCCTAGTTTATTAATCTTCATTCGCTTATCAAGTTATCTCAAATTAAATTTTAAAAAAACGCCTTATGACTGAATTTAAAACACGATATCATCAAAGTGAATAAGTTTGCTTTTATGATTAACAATTTAATTACGATAAGGTTTAATATATATTTTATTCTTCTTTGCTTAATATAAGAAATACTTTAACTTGACTGTAAATAATTCATCAAGTGCATATCTTTGTATTTCAGTGTAAAAAATGGCTTATTCAGAGTATACGACGGGGCAAGAACTCTTGATGATCTCAGAGTTTATGTGAAATCCGCAAAATATGAAAATGAAACACCTTTACCATGGTATTACTCACCAGCATCTTTTCAGTAATTTTTACTTGTTATTTATAATATTTTATAATATAAATTACATAGTATGCATATTTTCATACGTTTCATGGATCTTGGCATTTTCATTACGGTTTGTATTTATAATTACATTTAATTGTTCATTAACCTGGTTTATTTATAGAATACTCATCAAGCATTTTTAGATGCTGGTTATAGTAATTGGATGTCATTTTTAATCATTGGTCTATCGACTATATTTTCCGGACTATTCATTGGAATTGTAGGTTTTCCAAAACAAAAATATTTATTTGTAATTTTTTTCTTCTAGATACTTGTATTGATTTTTGATTGTTTTTTCCCACCGCGTCCACAAATCCTAAGATTTATTAGGAAACCTAAAAAGGTGGAAGAATCTGTAAGTCTTGCTCTTTTTTGCCATGATTTAATTATTCATTTAGTTTGTTTTGCATAAATAACGGCCCACTGATTTCCAGTCAGTAGGGTGTTGGTCCTAACTCAGTCGTTAATTCAGTTTGGATAGTCGAGCAGAGTATCACTAGCCCTCATATAAATAGTATTGCTCAAAGTGGAGTACATAAATTCGTACTTGGTGAACGGGTCACATTGTTATGTTTTCATTACTGACCAACCATAATTTTTTGATTTAACGCTAGAACACATAATAGCTAGCATGCGAATCAAAGAAAATTATAATAAGGAGTCGAATATTAATGGTAGTTACGTAAAGTTGGTAAAGGAATTTAACAATTACGTCAGAGGGAAACAACAAAGGAAAATTGAGCGTCGATTTTGTTGATGACCACTATGGGAAGAGCAGTTTTAAAATTTCCTTACGAAGCCATTCATTTGGTTTCTTAAGATGGATATGAGTAAATTTCAGGTAACGACTAAATTAGTCGACCTTCATCTTGTTCTCATTACACGGACAATTTCGTAGTACATACTGGTAAGATGACAGATCGAACAGTACTCATCCGTCTATCACGTTCACCCTAGGTTAAGAATTTAATTATAATATCACTTTTTTTAAGTGTCTTGTTAATAAAGAGATCAAGTGGAACATCAAAGGAAGCTATGCACAGGAAATCAACATCAACTAGTCAGCATACTTATCTTGCACCTGATGAAAAGTCTAAAATATCGCGACAAGCCTATTTATTTTGATCAACTAATTGGAGATGAGTTAAAGGATACTCACAACTTACTATGAACAGATATCTAATAAAGTCAGTTAATCAGTCAGCTACAACGTAGGACCAGGTACATATATGCACCGGTCCAAGTTGCCATACCTCAATAACACAACAAGATGGACACCGGATTTATAAAAGTAGCTAATTCAGAGGTGGTAATATATAAAAGAAAGATTGCAATAAGGATATAGTACGGGAAGAAAGAATTAGCTCGTAGAAAGAAAGATATGAAGCGATTTCAACCTCATAGTTTATGGGAAGACAGAGTGTATACACCGACGCCATTGTGATTGATTCTGAACCATGTCACCCAGAGTTTCCAACCATTGGTTACGATAGTCACAAGGACCCCAACCAAGTAGTGTGCGTCTCCCAGCATGACTCAGACCAGAAGTTAGTGACTTCAGGGATTGATGCCACGTTTTGGTTTGGCCGCCTCTCACTTTCTTCCAACCATCTCCAACACCGGTTTGCATTGTGCGTCATGGTAATCGGTGTCCAGGCATACGTAACACGTGGCCCAACCATCTCAGTCGATGAAGATTCGTAACCTCATCAACTGACTTACCATCATTCCCTAATACCCTTGCGTCTAACCTCACTATTATTTAACTGGTGATCACAGCAGATGCGAGCATCTGTGGTCAAAACAGAACGAACTTCCGCGCAGTATACTCGTCCTTTCATTGATAGACGGATATTTCGCCTTCGCCATAGGTGATGTTAGTTGACAAAAACCGAAGGAGCTTTTCGAATCCGTGCTGCGATTTCGTCAGACACGAACCCATTAGGGCTGTTGACGCGTTCGACTACTTCACTCCCTATCCTTAGTTTAGGTGTTGACTCAGACTATTCCTGAAACAACAACATGGATTTAGGGGGAGAGAAGCTCATTCCAAACATTCTGGCATTGTTGCTCAGTGCTACCAAAAGACTCTGCATTTTATCAGCGTTTTCACCAAACAGGACTATGTCGTCTGCGTATTCTGATTTTATAAGTGGACCTCCTGGTAGGAGATCAATGCCCGAAAATTCAGTCGACGAGAACGTTATTTCTAGCAGCAGGTATATGATGAAGTTAAACAAAAATGGAGAAAGTGGACAGCACTGACGGACACCACTTAAAGTGTATTGCTATTTAAGAACTAGTTTTAGGAATACCTGTTTCCTTTAGAAATTGTTATTATCGAATTTTATGTTGGTCTCTGGATAATGTCCGTTGATGAATTGCATAGTATATCCATTCAGACTGAGTTGCAGGTTATATGAAGTTAGTTATTTACGTAGAGTAAATTGAAAATCTAAATTTTACTGCTGTTTATTTTACGTATTCTCGCAATTTGACATAGTTTACTGCTAAGACAAACATGGGATTACTCAATCTTTATCAGTGGTTTTAAGTCATACTAGTAACCGTAACTACTAATGCTTCTTTCTCAATCCAATTTTTTGTGTGACCTTTACCCTTTTCCGATTGCTTGTCACTACTTTTAGTTCACTTATTTGCTGTGTGCTCGGAAGTCATGTTTATGTTACTGAGCTGTACTATTTCAGACTGCCCGAATGCCATGTTTTCCTTACCTTTCTTTTTTCTGTGTTCGCTGTTAATTGTTATGTGCCCGGCTGCCGTTGTAGAGTCCGAAATAGGACCGTTCGTATTAGTATAACTCAATTTTTAATTCATAGGTGTCTTAGACAAACCAGAAACCCCGAAACAGAATCGTTTTTTTTCAAGACATAACATTTTCGTATGTTATAGAATCACATTCAGAGAGTACCATTGTATCTTTTTTTTAATTTAATATGTTCTTCAGATATTTTAAAATAACTTTCTCATGTTTTTAGTTACAGTATGAAACAGACAAATCCAGGTCTAATGCTCACGATGACGATGTATCAGAGGAAAATGTAGATGATGAGATTACGGAAATTCGTCAAAGGAAGGTCGATAATAATGAAGTTCATGATTCATAATCTCATGTATTGCACAGATATTTACATATGTTTAGTTTCTTTCTAATATCACTGTTTCGCTTTTTTTCAATTGTTTTGTATTTGAACTACTTTAGACAACTTTTACATACTCAATTGGTTATCGAATTAGACCGTTTTGATCTAATGCGGTTATTCATGCCTTAGTATGTAAATTGTAAAAGTTAACTAAATGTGAATATTAGCGCATACGGGCATAATGGCTTATTAATAATATATTTAAAGTAACTTGGTCAAATTGTAAACAACTTGCTGTATGTTTAAATCACACCAGTATAAGAAATGGTAAAATTAGCGGTTATGGTACTGTTGTATAACTTCCAACGAGTTTTCTTTTTTTTTTTGTTTTCGAAAATATCATCATTTCCTATAATCTACAGGAAATTTAACATATTAATAGATTAGAACAGCTACTTTTAATATCTTTGATCACATGAAAATTCTCATATACGAAATACTGGACAGGGGGGTAAATCGCGCTTGCAGAAATCTTAGTTATGATTCATTGTTTTGTGAATATAGTTGACACCGTATAAAGATCATGCTGATTTCAATATTTTGAGTGTATTAGGTAATTGACTTTCAAAATGTAACAAACGCAAATAAGCAATTTATAAAATGTGGAAAACAACTTGTATCTCATCAGGTTGAAGAGAGATATTCTAAAAACAGCTTATTAGTTTATAAGTTAATTTAAAAATTCTGTTAATAAATAGTTGGGGGAAAAAACAAGATTAATGCCTGTGTTTGGAACGATTCAATCTGCCTTAAAAAGCATATATTTTAAGTTCTATTTGTAAGTTTCTTCATATCCTACTTTTCTCCTAATATTATTATTATATAACAAAATGTTGTTGATATTTGCGGATGTTTATTGCAATATTGAGTGGAGTTAAGTACGCTAAACAACCACTCTAATAAATATAGAGTAAAACCCTAAAGTTATTACCTCCAATGTTTTGTCACGCCTCAAATCAGAGCAGTAATAGAAAAGGGAAACAAGGAAGTAAGTTACAGGAATTCTCCTAGTAGATAACCAAAGCTATCACAAGACTGCTAATAATTAAAACAAAATAATGGACGAAAAGGTAGATGACTCTTGGAATTGTCAAATGAAAGAAATCAATAATTTATACTCTCATAATCTGATGTTTCTCATAAACACCAGTTTCTCTGACACACCAAAGCCTGGAAACAGTTCATCATCTCAAGACAATAGTTATGAAAATGGATGACGGTGATATTTCAATGGAAGTCCAAGTATACCACAAGCTGAATTCATCACTACAGACGAATAACATGTCGAAATAAGTTTATTCCACAAATGTAAATCATTTTCTGTTATGCGAAAAAAATAGTTATTTGCATTTTACAAAATCGTCTGTAAAAGGTTTCGTAACGATACTGTTTCAAAACTTATCAGATAATAGCAGTGCATTATGCTGTAAACATGTTTACATAGTAATCAATAAGGAAAGATCAGTCTTTGAAAAGTGTTCGTGGTCATAGTGATCAGGAAATTAGACATCACGGAAAGACCCTATAAAGCAAGCTTACAATTTTACCAATTGCCGAATGTAAATATCATGAAATGCATGATAGGACATTGAATTACTGAAGTACAGAGCGATAAGCCCAAATGACAAGTACGCTTGCTACCTCATTGCCTCTTATCTTACTGGACTGCGAAAATTTCGAGATCACAATGCAAATAATTATAATCTAGCAGAAATGTATTTCTGAAGTACAGGGAACTTTTATGTGGTCAGTTGACAGCTTGAAATAGCAATACCTAATAAACATGCTTCCTGTCACGAGTATTATTGATGGTGGGTTTCTCGTATGATGTAAACCGTTTACTGTAACGAGAAACGCTCCAATTATTTGTACATGAATACGGGGATCGTTCACTGAATGTGGCGACGAATAGTTAAGCTGTTTAGAGTTTAAATTCCAAATTAAATCAACCCTAATGTACAGGTTGCACCAATTAAATGGCATAATCTCTGTTGTGTCTGATCTGTTCTAACTGTAATCGAAATTGATAGAACCGATCAAATGGTTGGACTGAGCAATCAAGAAGGAAAAAGCGAATTATTTATTCGCCCTTCCCAATGAGACTCATCCCTCACATAATTTGGGAATTTTTATTAAGCATTGTAGACTAAATTAGATGATGTTCCTAAACTGACGTTACCCTAAATGTTCTACTCAGAATGCGTTAAGGTAACAAGAACTGCCGTTTTGTCACTAAAAATAAGTACCATAAGCATTCGGGAATCATACATTATAAATAAGTGTTGTTTGGCGATTTTATGTTTAAGGAACATTAAGAAGCTTACCAGATAACGTTGTATACTAAAAATGCGCAAAATATGAATCTTGCCAAACAACTATAGAAGAAATATGTCATTTTACTTAATGAAATTACATTTGATTTCAGTTACTCAATTTTAATATATACCTAGCTATCAGTTGTCATTATTTCTTTCTTTCTATGGTAGATACAACTGAACGCAGCATTAAACATTTCTTACTTATTTTATCAAGTCTTATTGCAGGTTTTATTAAAGGTATTTAGTAGAAACCAGTACTCTTTCGCTGTGGTGATGTACGACGAGGCAACAACCTGAACTCATACACATCTGCTACAGGCCTTATGATGATGAAGACTGATCAGCCCCAATCAATCTAAAATATGCTTTCTACACAATTTATCACTTTCAAAAAAATCAAACATTACGTAGCTATAAATTTAATTAGATTCTTTAAGTATTGAATTTTTTTCTCAAAAGTACATATTTCTGCACAGTGTTATGCAGATAAAATAGTGATATGGTAAACAAATAAATCTAGTCATTACCATATACTAAATAAACATATACACAAAATTAAGACCCTAAACAAAATAGGGAGATAATCATTCCACATAGGCGTGAATCATCATATCCGGCGATAATCCAAAAGTATCAAATACAAGTTTCTGTAGAAGTGAATGCTAACAAGCACTTATTGCAAAGTAATAACAAAGTTCAGTAGATTGTTGTAAACAAAGTATTGACAAATTTACTTTTGTTTTCAAAACCATCTTATGATGACTTGATTCGATAACTTTAGTCACATTATAAGGAATTATGATATCAGGCTTAAAAAATATTCGGCTGTTAGTTATTTTCTGACAATTACCTACTTTCCCGGTTAAATAGCGTTTCAACTAAAACACATAACAATTAGCAAGAAAAAACTAAGTATGCGGGAGCTAGAAAAAGGGAAACAAATCATGTTATGGTTGGGAAAGCCTGTCAACCTACAACATGACATCAGGGGTAGCGAGATGGCTTCAAGGATGGATTTTTAGACTAAAAGTTGTACTGAAAAAGGTCCTATCAGCCCCCGTGCTGGTCTCTTTGTACTAAACGAAATTGTCATCGCAACGGCCAACTATGGGTAAGTGCCCGACTTATGTAACCCTCTACTGTGCATAGTAGTTTACACTTACGTGCCAAAGTACATAAATTAAAAAAAGTAGGTTTTGCATCCGCATGTCTGATCATGTTCCACATAATAAACGAATAATATTTTCAGTAGTGTAAGCGCCTATCATTTACAGTGGATATGATGTTGATAATTCAAAATTCTTTAAAATAACCAAAAAAATATCGAATCTGTTGAGCTTCACTGGATTGGTCATTTTTTAGGTATTATATCAACAATGACAGGAATCTCCGATTTCGGAGGATTTTTTCTTCGTGCTCTTTATAGTTTTCTCTTCTCGAATATTTAATCTATAAATGAATAAAGTCATTTAGATGATTCACAATTGATTTTTTATTAATCTACATATCAGACCCAACTGTAATTAAGACTTTTCATTTGAAATATGTACACTCGTATTTTTTTCTCAAAATGATTAATACTACTGTTTCTAAACTGTAAGCGACTGACAAGAAACCACGAAATAAATTAATTTTAATTATTCAGCTACAGTTGTTATTCTTACTTTATTTATAAGTGAATAAATGGAAATAGAGAACTTAAAAATCTGTCCTCTGGTGAATCAACTCATATATATTTTGGTGTATGTTTATTAAACAATTTATTTATGGTATTTTATTATTGTCCTAATTATGAGCTTCCATTTGACGCATTAACTGTTGCCATACATTTTCCCATCCATAAATTATAGAATTATTACTGAGACTTTGTAACACAAAAATCATAATTATTTACAAATTGTGGTATATTGTCCCCGCTGTGTTGTGAATTTTACTACATATGAGATCACGTGAGTTTTATAATAATAATACAAGATGCTGTACTAGCTTGCTAGTATTTTGATTGATGGTTGGAGACTGGTGAATATTTGTGTGGCCAAATAGGTGTAAGTATATAACTTAGCTGAGCTAAAAAGTGAGTTTCGATAGTGTAATAAGGAGATGAAGATTATCAGAACTATGTGATATATTAGCGCAATACATTTCGAGCATTTATGTATAAAAATAAATGGTCAACTAGACAAGAAATAGAGGATAAGAGGAGACAGCGATAATATAAAAGTAATAGTAATATGAAACTTAATCACTCTGGATAATAAGCTAATATTACCAGGGTAGGTTTAAGATGAGAACAGTGTTTTTGAATACACAAAGGGAGTTTGGATTTTCGGATGACTAAGGTTTCAATAAACCTCAGTATACGCCCTTTTACACTTTTATACAACACCACAAAAGCCGAGCTAAGTTCAATCTTATGGCCTGTTACGTCATGGTAAACACAATGGGATGTGACACAATCATTTTCATGTCTTTTAGGTTCTGGATGAAGAAGCATGAACCTTGTTCTTTCTTTGATAATGACCTTCGCTGCGCAATACGTTTTGTTGATGACTGATTTAAACCTTTTATTTCAATAAAAGGATATTTGAATCACCTCTAAATGGTGATTTTTATATATAAATGTTCTTAACAAGTATATGTGTGATTAGAATGTTCGAAATGTATTGCGCTAATATATCACATAGTTCTGATAATCTTCATCTTCTTATTACACTATGGAAATTTATCAAAGGGACTCATTGCTTTAAAATTATTATTATTATTTGAACACACGAATATTGGTACAAGAGAGCGCCAATATATATGCGCCACACAAAACAATGAGAGTTCGAAGAGGAACAGGAAGAAAAAAAAGAACAATAACGAAGAGATTGGAATAAGGTAATGTGCTAGTAATCAGGGAACGCAAAGGTACAATTGGAAAAAATCTTTCAGGTAAGGGAGACACAACCACTTTTTATGCCTTCTCGTGGCGGCGGTGTTGTTTACGAAAATGAGAGAATGAAAAGCGAATGTCCGGCGCTTTAACCGGATCACAAACCAATGGTGCACATGGGCTCCAGTATCCTGCGGGAACAAATGGCGT